CAGAGTCTAACTGGGCAAATACAAACTTTGTCTCTCTAAGTAAGACAGTACTAAAGAAGGAGGTGATTTTCCTTCTCTGTCTGGTTATTAATTAATTTAATTTAAAAACATATGCTGGAAAGTGAATGGTATGATCTCTAGAAATTTAAGCAATCCTGCATTATACTAAAAGAAGAAACTCACTATTTATGGAAAAAAACCTGAAAATTAAAATAAGCAGAACCTGGAAAATAAAAGAGAAACTTATTGACTGGAAGCTCAAACAAGAAAAAATCCAATCTAAATTAATATTGATGCTTGAAGTAATAAACTCTTGGGTCAAATGGGTCAAATGGGTCAAATGGGTCAAATAGAAAAGTGTTACTTCATGTATTTTGGTTGTGAGTTGGTATTTTTATACAATGATGATCTCACTGAAACAAGTTACATTCCTCTTAGGCAAGCTGGTTTGTAGTTGATATTGCCTTTGTCATACTTAGGGCTTTAAAATAGACAAAGATATAGACTCAGCTTATTTCAGACACAGTTACTCCTGTGTCTGAACTAATATTTATAGAGAGGAATTCAGAATATATATATATAAATTTTTTATATATAATTTTATATATATAAAACATATATATAAAATTATACTGGATGCATGTTATTTATAAAGTGTCAGAGTGTTCACAGACCTTTACTTCTACATCTCTGTGGCCAAACTGCAAAGGCATTTTAGCACAATTACATGAAGCTCTCTATCCATTTCAATCACCTATTTGGTAAATAGTTCCATATTAAGATGGAATTAATGGATTAATATTAGAATGATCCTTCATACCAGAATTTTAATATCTAAGAATAATCTTACACACAGTGTTAACTCTCTAGTTAACACTGTCCAAGTAAAAAATAGTATAGTCCAAGTAAAAAATATCTTGGATATTACAAAGCAATCATTAGTGGGGTTTTATTCTGCTTTCAACTCAGGATCCAGTATTTTCATCTTCTGAGGGAAGGCAAGATACAGTTGTTGGTCTTAGTGTGATGACTTATCTAAACAATAACTGAGAGCCTCATATCTCATTATTCTTTATCTTTTCACTATTTCACAGACTTACATAATCCTCTTCCTGATGGTTCAGTTTGTACCCAGCAGTCCCAGAACCAACACTGCAGTATCTTTTCCAGACGATCTCATTTGAAAGACTTGTTCCACCAAACTACTTAATCATTGCAGCTTTAAATTCTTTGGTAAAGTTTCATAATTTCATAATTAGCCCATTAACTCTTGTGTTATATGATGTACTTCTATTGTGAAAACTTTAATCCTAAGGGATTTTGGTATTTGTAATGTATTTCCATTAATATAATGGAAGCATGCACAGTTTTGTCCTTGTCTTTAGAATTCCACTGAAAAGTGTCATTTGGGAATGTATTGACTAGGTTTAAATACAGACTTGGATTAATAATAATTATTATGTATCCAGCATAAGCAATAATTTTCCTCATTGCTATTTTATTCTGGTCATGAATAATTAATAATTTGTGGCACCAAAGGTAATGTTTTTTTCACACAAAGTCAACTGACCACATTTTTCATTGCTCTTATTAGTACCTGCAGTAACCTTTTGGTTCTTACTTTTGCATGTGAGTTTTAATGTATGTAATATCTACTGTGCTAGGTCATCATGATGATTTTTTTTTTTTTTTGATCCTACAAAGTAATTCTGCACATGATTAAAGCTGTGTGCTTAATGCTTCAGGGCTTTCTCTGCCACACTCATCACAGCACTACTTTTCAGTGACTCGATTCTCCTTGCAGGTCTTGGCATTGCCAAACCACAGCCCTTTTTTCCTATGTGCATTATTGGCTCTCCAGAGCTAGAACCAATAGCTCTAGCTAAATTAGCACAGCTCTACTTATTTCAGTGGAAAACTTCTTTTTATTGCTTAATCCATTCTTTCTTAATGTTAAAGTTTAGTAAGGTCATCTAGTGAAGAAGATCCCATATAGGAATCAATTCTCCAGCACAGTTATCAAAAACTAGGGAAATAAAACCTCAGCCACATAAAAGAAAGCTGGTAGACTCCAGTTGTTCAGAAAACAATTTGTTATAGTTTGATTATGTGTTATTCCCAGGTGACCTTTATGAGCCTCATGTTACTTTTTAATGTCTGTAATAATGCAACAGAAAGTGCACTTGAACAAATTCCACACTGCATTTTAGATGATGTTGCTTTCCTGAGAAAATTGTACCATTTCTCATAGTTTACAATTTTTCTGATGTCTGACTTTTCCATTTTCTAGTTCTAAACTGATACCCATGAATTTGGTGCCTTTTTTTCCACCCACACATTTTCTCTGCTTCTTTTCTGCACTGGATCACAAAACCAGTGGTAGAAAGATTCACGGCACTGTTACTTATGCTTTGGGAAAGGCTGGCAACTGTCATACACAGTGATCAAATTCAAATATTGTTTCAAATAGTGTTTTTTCCACCCACCCTGTAGAAGCCAGGCTACATAGGATATGATTCAGTAATGGGTGGTGGTGTGGTCACAGAAAGGCCTTTCTCCTTCTCCTTTCGAGGTGAATTCCTCTCCTGAAATGCATGCCCACTTTCCAGTGAATCCTAAATAGACATTCTTAAGGACAGCTAAACCCATCCCTTGCTCCTCTAAGTAAATCTAATTTTGGTTTGAAGCATAAGAAAGTGAAAGCTTCCTATTAAACATATAAATCATACTAATAAAAAAGAAGCAGTTGAGAGGATACAAGGGAATTTGTCTATTTATCTATTGGTTTTTCAGGACTGTTTACCCAAAGTACCCTAAAAAATATCTTTTAAATACTGAAATCCTCTAACAGAAATTCCCAACAAATTATGCCACTAATAATAAAAATTAAATCCAAAATATATAAGACAATGTTATTTTTTGAGAATATATTGGTGTCTAAAAAAGAAAAGCATTCAAGCTCAGTGTGCAATGCAACAATGATCAGAATGAAACTCCTACGTGATTTGGCACCAGGAAGTAATTTACATGGATATTGAAAACTTAGAATTGTTAGAGGGTTTTTGTTTTTAATATGAGAGTAAATCTGATTAAAAAAAATAACTTGTTGATTTAAAACTGCTTAAAAATGACTGATTGGATGTTTTGCCCCAAAATCTCTCCTGTGGGAGTGGTGTTTTAATGAACCTGTGAACTTTGTGCCTTTTTTCCACCCACACATTTTCAAGCCAATGGGGCTTGTTTTCTAGAGGTATTTGATGCCATTTATAACGGCTTCTGTAACCTGTTGGGCTTTCAGATGTTGCTGCAGAAGGAAACTGCCTTCTACAAGCCCTGAGTGGTACCAGTAAGCTGCAATGAATTCCCTAAAACATTTCTAATCTTACATACATTTTAGATAACGGAATCATACTACGTATGCTCCAAATAATTAAAAAGAATTGGTGGAATGTCCAGAACAGCTTCTGCATCATTGCCATTTCTGTTCTGCCAAGCTGTTAAGAGCATGATGTCAGCTGAGAGCTAAGGAGAACCTCAGACCACTTCAACAAACATCTTCAGCCTCTGTATCTCTGTCTACTCACAGGCATATGGAAGAGATGCTATGTCGCTCTATTGGGAACAGCGAGAAGAACAACACAGACTCTCTAGTGAGTTGAACAGGAGAGCTCAAGGTTTATTACTTCAGATCTTCTTTCATAGACCAATACATGAAAGTATAGAAAGGTAAAACACTTATTGCTTAATGAACACATTACCATCATTGATCAGTGGGGTACACCACCCCTCGACCTTCTCTTGCAAGAAAACGAGAAACTGACAAACAGCACCTGCAAGACTTTTTTCTATCTCTGAGGATTGTTTTAATTCCTCCTTATGATTTCCCAGGCCACTTTCTCAGGTGAGACTGAGAAAGTTATGCAGCCTGCTTTTCCACAGGCACTGTGCTCTCTGCTTTTGCTCATATATAGCATCCATAATGCTACAATGTATTCTACCAGTGGGGCAAATTGCTGATATGAGAGCTATAGAATTGCACAAAGGACTCCAAAACATAGAGTCACAGAGTGATTTGGGTTTGCAAGAACCTTAATGAACACCTGGTCCAACTGACTTGCCATAGACAAGGATAGGTTTCACTGGATCATGCTGCTCAAAGACTTATACAAACCTGACTCTTAACATTTCCAGTGGTGAGGCATCCACAAAGTCTCTCAGCAACACTTCCAGTGTCTCACCACCCTCACAGTAAAACAAAATAAAAACCTTCCTTACATCCATTCTGAACCACCTTTCTTTTGTTTTAAAACTATTGCCTCTTTTCCTGTCACTACAGGCCCTGTTAAAAAGTCTCCATTTTTCTTGTAAGACCCCTATACATATCAGAGGGCCACAATAAAATTCCCTCTGAAGCCTTCTCTAGGATGAATAATCCCTAGACATGTTACTTCAGCTAACTGAAGCTGTCTTATGAGAAGAGAGATGCTCATTAAAATTCTGTACATACTCTGCTCTTCCCTTTCTGCAGCAGCATCAATGAAGGAGTTATTCTGTAAAACGCTTTCTACTACTTAAAAAACTTCTCTTTTGCCCTTTAGTTGATAACTTCTCCTTTCCTAAGAAATCTTGTTCTTTTGCTTGTAAAGGATGATAATTAAAAACTGGTCAAGTAATTAAACCCCCAACCTCTTTGCTTTCTAAGTCTTGTCTTATCTTTTCATTTTAGAGGGTATAGTGTACCTTTTTAAATACAGATAAGTCAGTGGATTAAATATTCTCAAGTCTTGTTGCGTGAACACAGAGGTTCATTTGTTCTAATGCTGTGCTGGTTCTGTACATCTTTTTATGAGAAGTTACAGGCTCCCCTACTGAGCTGGGCTGCTTACGAGTATGGACTGTGGGAATTCCTGCTCTCTGGAAAGGGCTTCTTACTTGGTCAGGAGCCAAACATTTCAGCCCCCATCAAAGATTGACATGTGTCTGTCTGGTCTTGCCCAGGACAAGGACACAAAGCATCTGCTGAACCTTACTGTTAGAGGTATGGGATTAGTATCTTCATTTCTGCACTGGAATGTTTAAATTTCATGCAGCCCTGGGAAGGAGTCCAAGACTTCCATAATTTGACCATTATTATTTCCATATAGGAAATAATACAGATTCTTCACTTAGAACCCCCATGTTCCAAAGCTGTACATGAGGTACAATACTGACCTGATGAAATTCATAAAAAAAAGATAACAGATGGATTTTTCCCTCTCATAGCATTCAGGCAGCCCAAAAACTTGGATCTTGACACTGATATCAATCAACCACAAAAAAAATGGAAGTTATCACTTTTTATCACATAGCAAATTTTGTCAAAAATCTATAGGAAGACTGAAATGAAAAATAGCAGAGAGGTACAGTTGGCACATCTAAAAGAGCACCTGGTAGATTTTCAGAGGAATTGGGAATTGGCTTAGCTCTTTTAAAATAACCCATTTTTAGTTATTACAGCTTTTATTTTTTAATAGCACTTGAAATACATTTTCAGTATCTTCTTATTCCTTAAGATAATTGCATATCACCGAACATATATCTGAAAAACAGAAAATATTTATTTTTACATATTTTTAACATTTTTCTTAATAGCAACTTCAGAATTTTTTTTCATTTATTCCTTTCCTCCCCCCCTCTCCCCCCCCGTTGTTTTCTGTATGGTTTCATTGTTTTTGTTATTTTGGTGGGGTGGGGGGGCATATAACACCCTTGGTGTTACAATATTCTGAGAAGCTGGGGCTCAGAACAAAGCTCTATTAAAAGCTTTCAGTAAGATTTTCCTCTCTACTACTTCTGTGGCTCATCAGCATTCCCATTTCACAAAATAATTAAGTGGATGCTTATACTTAGGCTTGTAAAGTGGTTCAATTTGAAGATGGATGCTGCAAGGTTTAAAATAAGGCTGAAGACATTTTTCAGACTCAGGGTCTCATTATTTTCCTTATATCTGAGGCATGCTGTATCAAAGAGCCATAGAAAATGGTCCAGCAGTAATGTAATCATAGCTGCCTGAGAAGACAGGCATGGAAAAGTCTGTAAATAATGGCAAAGCTTTCCTTTAGCTGAAATAGTACAGCTGGAAAAGCCTTTACATAGAATCTTTTACCATTTTATGGCTTGCCAGTGCTGCAGGATTTCTGCCTCCCTTGAGTGGATATGTAGTGAGAGCTCTAAGGTGACTTAGATATCACTTATTGGAATGCAAGCTTCTACAGCTGACCAAATATCTATGAACTTCTTCTACAAACTACACATGGCTTTTTTTTGCCTATACAGAAAGTTCAAATAAAAATGCTTCATATGTGAAATTGTCTTATGCATCTTGTATAACTTATACAGTCAGAATGCCATTTAGTATTCAGTGACAAGGTATTTTGCAATTTAGCTAACTTGTAGTATTTCTTATGGAGTACAAAATAGAATTTTATATCTTTCCCATTTTATTTTGTATCAAATAAAGTAAATTTTTCCATGTCTAACCTTTGTCAGTGTCTTCCTGCTGTCATCCATAAAGCAAAGAAAACTGCACGGAACAGCTCCATATTCTCTGGCAATAACAAATCATTGCACAAAAGACTGAAAAATACCCCCAATAACTGAAAAGTCACAATAAACTTGAGCAGCAAGATGAACTTTGGACAAGTCCCATTTGCCTGAGGAACTCATACTGAATCTCATATTTATATTTCATTTGCTTTGACTTCTAGGAAACTATCTCTGTTGAATCTCAAGTACGAGAGAATACTATAGAGAAATATACCAGAGATTAGTGAGTACGAGAAATTTCATTAACGTGCACATTTTTGGGACTTTATATAATATACAGGTGACTCCATAAAGAAATGTTGAATGCAGAAGACTAGAATTTAAGTCTGATAGGTACTGGCCACAATTCTTCCACTGATGTGCCTCATCATCAATTTAGCACCTGCCCAAAGTCTGTCAAACTCACAGGGCCCTAAGAATTTAATAAATATTATTTGCAAAGTAGATGTAGTATTGGAAGTATTTGATTCATGTGACTTGACTAGGAAGGATATTGGAGGTCACAAGGGTAGGAATTAGGTGCCCAAATACTTACTAGAATCAATCCCCTGCATTATATGCACTATAGGTGTATTTAAATGTAGATGTTTACATAGTGACTGAGACTGGGACACTGATTGTTATACGAAGTGTAACAATGTAGTTTCCCAGAAAAATCAGTCATGCTAAACTTCACTGAAGGAGGGAGTAAGGAACCTCTACTTCATGAACAGCAATTAATTTTTATTTTCTTACATTGTTCTACTTTAAATTATACAATGAAACTGATACTAAATCTGAGCTACTTCTAATTAGGAGTATTTTCTGAAAGACCAGTTCCAACCACTAGCTTTTTATCCTATTTCACAGCAGGAATTAATGTTATATAATAATTAAATACTACAAAAATTAAATATTATAATATATAATAATTCAGTCTAACAGATCTTTTGGAGTCCTTTACCACAATATTTTGGACACTTATCCTATTCTCATATAATTTTTGCTCCAGTTTTGCTTACTAATAACAGATTAATTGATTAATGAGCTGAATCAACAATGTTTTACTCAAAAGAGAGCCAAATTCATCACCCTTTTAAATCTTGAATAGAAAGCAAAGTCCAGAGCAAATTTCTTGATGGAAAATACTGTGAAAGCTATGTTGTGAGAAATAAATAACACAAATGCTCAGGGGGTCTTATGGAGCTTGCAAAAGAAATATCTTTCTATGCTAGCTTGAGATGATATTACACATTAAACTTCATGGTAGGTCACACTGCTTTTCTGTGACTTATCAGTCAAGAAGCACAAAATCACAGATTCATTTATGCTGAAAAACACCTCTAAGATCATCCAGTCCAACTGTTAACTAAGCACTGCCAAATTCCCACTAAACCATGTCCCCATGTCCCACATCTAACCTGGCCTTGAAGATTTCCAGATATTCAGATATAACGCATCAACAACTTCTCTGGACAGCTTGTCCCAGTGCCTCACCACCTTCACAGTAAAGGATTTCTTCTAATATCTAATCTTACCTTGACCTCTTTCAGTTTAAAGCTATTCCCCTATGTGCTGTCATTACATCTCCTTTTAAAAAGCCCTCTCCAGCTTCCATCTAGATCATCTTTAGGTACTACAAGGCTGCTGTATGCTTACTCACAAATCATCCATTATTTTCTGTTTCCTCTTGAATTATTAGCTTCAGTAAATTTTGTAGCAATAACTTATACTGGTAGTTCACTTGCTCATCTGCTTTTTTTTTTTTATGTCAGCTTTACTCACATTCATGTGTCTGCAGCTACACTTCCTTCAACATCTCTTCAAGTCCTGTAAATTTGGAGCTGAACTCTGAAAGTTCTCCCCAGAGTATGAGATTAGCTTGGGGAAAGAATAAATTATGCACAAAAGCATTATTCTTCTCCTGTACATAATGATGCTAGCAGGAGAGAAAAATTAGCTTATTAATGTCATGTGAAGTCTAAGAGTTTTAAGAGATAGTCCAACCTGGTATCACATTCTTTTCGTCTTTTATGCTTAAGAAATAGTGTTCTCTGATGTAATGCTGCCAATCTGCCCTTTCTATTTTCTGTTACAGCCAGACTAATTTTTATGTATCTCATGCCCTTTAGGTCTAAAATCTGCTTAGTAGTACTTAGAAGCCAAGTTTCTAGGTGCCTTTGAAATTCTAGAGAAGAGAAAGGCAGAAAGATTGTCCAGGGTTCCATTTACCTTGTATCTATTTTAAAAGCACATTAAATCAAGAGCTTAAAGCACCCTTGCTAATTACTACTCACTATAGTTAATCATAGGACAAGATGGCAAAATAGCCTACTGAATCATTTGGATAGACTGCACAAGGATTTGATCTTCTGTGGTGCTATGTCTTGAATTTCAAATTGCTCAGAAAATTCCAATCCATGATCTAAATCAGCTAAAAACCGCAGCCTTTGGGTTGAGGTCTAATAACCCGTGTACACGATAATAATCTTTTGCCTTGTCAAAATTTTTGACAGAAAGCCAAATATCTACAATATTACTATGGGATATGGTATCTACCTTGATACCATAGGATTCAAAAGCAGTTAGAATGACTGACTAAAAGTTCTACTCTCCCTTGCAAATAGTAAATCAGTACCTTCTAATAATTTTGCTCTCTCTTGCATGCATGATATTAGTCCTCTGATGCCACTGCAAAGGTGGGAAAGAAATATGAAAACAGCCAGACACATTCTGCTGGGGTGGATCTGCTGTCATGACAGAGAACAGTGCCTTTGGATGCACTTTACATTGCAGGAGGAAGTAGAATTTTTTCCACTGTGTACAGCAGCTGGCTTACCTTAAACCTGGCCTTTGCCTCACTCATCATGAAGTAATTAGTGAATCTACTTTCAAAGAACAGTGTACACAGAATCTCTGTTTTCCAGCTCCTCTGTAAAACAATGGCAAGTAATAATTAATAATGCATAACAGAGGTATTATGGAAATGAACTTATTTTGAAAATGGCTCAGATACTATTTTAGATGTGGGAATGATTGTAATTGCATCAGTTCTATATAGTACATTAATTGTATTAAAGACATGGTAATTCATTACTATTTTTAGTACTACTAAAAAAACCCATACACAGTTACAAGGTGTTATCTGCATTTGCATAATGATATGAAAGGAAATCTAATACTCCAGAAATGCATCCAAATAGTGTAATCCCTAAAGCATCCAGGTAACTATCCTTATATTTGCTGGAACCGGATCTCAAACTTCTATACATTCTCCGGTATTTATAACCTTAAAATCATAGACATGAAAATCATAATCTTGCTTACAAAAGGAACACAACAAAAAGTCTTTTTTCACTCACTCACTCACTCACTCACTCACTCACTCACTCACTCACTCACTCACCTAGGGTTAGGCTGGGTTCATCCATGAAAACTTTTCCATATGCAAAAAAATTGTGTCTTTAGAGTAGTAAAAAATGAATCACTGATGATGTCATGAACTGAACACAGGAGAGGATGGCTACAAGGTCTTCATTAAGTTGGTTATAGGCATCTGGCTGATAATAAATCTGAAGAAAGAAAGTTTGCAAATCCTTCTTCTCCAGCAAATACTTAATTTATCAATGTCAACCTGACATACAGCCTACTAACAATATTAGTTCAACTGACTGAATTAGCCACACATTTTTGGCTAAGGAAATGATAATGCACTGTGCTGAATAAGGTTTCTCTCTTATTCAAGGTTTAATGGTCTGAAATGAGAAATTATTTAATTGGAATTTGGGTAAAAAACTAAAAAAATATGTATTGAGGTTATTGGTTATGTGTGTTTTTCTCTTGGCCCACAGTTAAACTGAATTTTACATTTTTTTCTTCTGTAGATTGCTGCAGAAAATTCATAGCAAGATATCAAGGAACTGTTTTTTTTTTTTATATATTATCTACAGCAGAGCACATTTTGTACCAGATGACACATGAATAAAGAGCTGGACCATGTGAAAAAAAATCAAATATAAACAACACAGGAATTTTCTTTTGTCTAGGAATAACTTCTTTCCTTTAATCAAAAAGAAGTCATATATATTATAAGCTTTGAAGTAATATATATTAGGAGCCTTATAATAAAGATAAAATCACAATGATCCCCAGTATAAAACTAAGATGATTTTCCATTACATTAAAACTTATAAAGTTATCTATTTTAAAATATGTTTTACAGAAATCATAGAATTGTTTAAGTTGGAAAAGATCCCCAAGATCATCAAGTTGAACCCAGCACTGCCACGTGCTCCACTAAACCATGTCCCTGTGTGCCACATCTACATATCTTGTAAATACCTCCAGGGATGGAGACTCCACCACTGCTGTGGGGAACCTGTTCTAGTGATTGGCAACCCATTTGGGGAAGAATTTTTTTCCTAATATCCAATTTAAACCTCCTCTGGCATAATTTGAGGCCTCTTGTCCTGTCACCTGATACCTAGGAGAAGAGACTAGCCCACACCTCACTGGAAACTCCATCCAGCTCCATAGACTTACGTGTGTCTAAGGGGTGTAGCAGGTGCTGACCATTTCTCCCCAGGTTATAGGGATTTCACTCTGCTCCTCATCCCTGTCTCCCAGCTCAGATGACTGGGTACATGGGAAACAACCAATCTCAGTATTATGGACTGAGGCAAAGAAGGCGTTAAGTACCTCAGCCTTTTTCTCACCCTTTGTTGCTAAGTGTTCCCCTGCATCCAATAAGGGATGCAGATTCTCCTTGGCCTTTATTTTTTTGTCAGTGTGTTTCAAAAAGCATTTTTTGTTGTCTTTTATGGCAGTAGAGAAATTAAGTTGTAGTTGGGTTTTCACTCTTCTAATTTTCCCCTTCATAGCCTCACAACATCCTCACAGTCCTTGTGAGTTGCCTGCCCCTTTTTCCAAAGTGTTTCATAAACTCTCCTTTTCTTTCTGAGCCCCAGATAAAGCTCTCTGTTTAGCCAGCTCCTCTGGCTAATCTTTTGGCACATGGGGACAGCTTTCCCCTGTGGCTTTCAGATCTTCTTGAAGAATGTCCAGCCTTCCTGCACTACTGTGCCCTTCAGGTCTGCCTCCCAAGGGATTCTATCAACTGAACTCCTAAAAAGACTGTGCCCTTTCATGCCAGAGCACTTGAGGGGGTAGAGCAGTCACAGAAGAGCTGCCTCATGAGAAACCTATATGGGAACATGATGAGAGTACAGCGTTCTGATTATGTATCACATCCTTTTCTTTCATGAATCAAATATAGCATGGAAAATACAAAGTAAAATGATGAGAAAAAAAAGAAATAAGGCAATGAAAGTAAGTTCACCAAAGCACTAAATCAGATTAAAATTAATGAAACCTTTTAAATGTCATTTTAGGAGCTACATGCAACAATGGCCTTAACCAAAAAGGGTAGAGAAAATATTAGAAAGGCCAAGCATGAGGATCTCCGTATTTGGAAAGTTTGCCCTTTGTACCTTTTACACTGCAAATTAGAGGGAAGAAGGGGCAACACTCAAAGGCAAAAAATATGGTCTCTCAGCACAAAAAGAGCAAAAGGGTAAAGAGAATGCAAAAGATGACAACATTTGGATAAAAGCCAGTCATATAAAGATATCAGCACAGAATAATAGAAGAGACTGGCACACATCCCAAATCAATTATAGATGATTACTGCAGCATAGGCCAATATACTTGCCTTCAGAAAGCCTAAGATGTGCATAACAGAAGTTCAAAACTAGCTACAAAAAAGAAAACTTTGGGATTTTTGGGAGATAGTAGAAGAAGGAAGGTGATGTAAATTATAAAGAAAAGGAAGGCACAAATGTATTTTTTTTTCACTACACCTGTTTGTCACCTTTGTATGAACTACACAGAGTCTGAATTTACAGACTCTACCTGAAACAGTAATTCAGTGGGTATGGGAACATATTGAGATACCTCATCCAGTTACCAGGTAGATTGTCACCTGATAATCAGTACTTCTGAAAAGATACAAATTGGTGTAAGCTCCCAAAAGCTTAATTTACTCAAAAAGTGAGATATTCTTACCAAACCAAGCATGTCTAACATGATGGATTTCCATTTTTAAAATGAATAATGTTTTATGAAGACTAACAAAAAACTTCAAATAAACTACTTCTCATGAATCAGTACTGCTTGTAAATAAGCCCAAGGCCCTTTCCATCACTCCCTCAGAAAGGGAAAAATGATCACCTTAGGTATCTTAAAACTCAGGGTAAAGGTAAAGCAACACATAAATGCTGTGCAGGATAGTTCAACATACGTTAACAATTGGCTACTGGGGCTACAACTAACAATTACTTACTTGGATAATAAATCACATTGAGGCTATGTCTGAAAATACCAACAGGAAGTCAAGCATTAAAATCACCTACTGTTCAACTTGTATGAATAGCAAACTACCAATGCTGATTTACTTCTTTAAACTATAGCTCCTTCTTCTGCAATTATGTACTGAAATCTAAGCTAAGAATGCTCATCTTCTTTGGATTATTTTCTTCATGCATCTCAAACACCTAATATAAGAGCAAGCCTTCTAATTTTTCATCTAAATCTCCGTTTACACTGTTTAAAGTGTAACACAATTTGAAGGGCACTTTCAGACAAACAGAAGATTGCCCCTTCCACCTCATTTGCTTTTTCTTCTGTGTGTTCAGCAACAGAATTTAGAAGAATGCATTATTATTGCCTCTGTAGAGAGTTATTATCCTTATTTTATTATGAAAATGCTAAGAAAATGTGTGAAAAATAGTCAGATGGTAAATCATAGACTGGTAACCTGCCTTGCTGTCACGAAGCTACATTACTAGAACTGAGGTCCTTTTCATTACTGACTGGATCCAATGAGGGACATAAAATAGCATCTTATTTATGCAAATATATGACTCTGTGTGCGTTTGTGCAGGTGTGAAGAGGTAAAAATGTCAGCTGTAAGAATACAGCAAAAATAGGCATATAACTTCCATTTCAATTACCTAAACAAATTCCTTCTCTGTTAAAACTGTGAGATTTAATCAGAAAACATTGTTTGAATTCTTTTGTAAAATCTGCAGTAAGCTTCTTTTGTCTCTTTTAATCCAAGAAAGAGACTCATCATTTTTCCTCTTACAAATTGTTCTTTTCAGATTTCAGTGACTCAGATGATTTTGCCCAAGATTAGTTTACTTTGACACCTGACTGGAGACCAGATCTGCAGATCCTGTAGTCCTGAAGTTTAAAGCAGGGATCTTTCTTTCATCAGTAAATATCTGTAGATGTCTTTGTTGAAGTTTTTGCTTGGTGTTTTAGATCTGCACCAGAACCATGACGTGCTCAGTCTAAAACAGCTGTCTGTGCATAGCATCACTGTGTGAGTTTTTGTCATGTAGATGTGCATAGGGTAAATTTAGATATCAGATTGATAAATACAATTAATTCCCACTTCCACTGACTTTTGATATAACATAGCTACCAGTACAGTATATATATACCAGACAAACATCAGTACTCAAAAAAATCTTGGTTACTCAATGAGTAGTCCCATGGTCTTTATTTAAACTGTGGGTGGAGAATGGTATTAATGCAAATATATCTAATAATGTGCTGAATTGGTCAGTGTTAATAGAATGGCTAAAAAGCTCATGGTCCATTTCTCTTTTCTTTCCCAAGTAAATCTGCAATAGCAATAGAGGTGTAGTTGTAATGCCCGAATATTTACTGCTGTGGCTGAAGATGATGCACTCTTCTGAAAATCAGATTTCCAAAATTAGTAGGCAGTTTTGGGTTTGACCTTTATTTAAAGGTCATTTTCTGTGTCCTGTGGTAAACTAAATTGAGTCAGGCTCAGAAATGATGCCTCCAAAGCCCTTTTACATATGTTTACATATGTTAGATATTTATGCCCTGCCTAGGAAG